AAAGACATAATTTAAATTTTATTAGATAGCTCTAGAATAACCCTTTAATATGATATAAAATTTATTTTATTGAAAATAAGTATTACCAAAAACCGGAAATGGCTATAAAATAAAAATTGCTCTTTCTTTCAAATTTTTTTACAGATAGCCATTATACTTCTTAATATTTGTACAAAATCCTAGATTGGGACGAGTACTGGGCCAATAGTTATTACACTTTAAATATAATTAGTATGTCTTAAATCCGATATTATACCAAATGTATAGTAATTTACGAAACAAATAAAAAGAATTTGTTTTGGACAAATAATCAGGCAACACTTTATCCATTTATGATTCATTACCGCGAAAGCGATATCATCAAACATGTAAGTTACGTGGTTATATCAGATTGTCTAAAACAATACTTGTTCCTTTTATTTATTTCAAATAAAATTAATTCTATTCTTGAAAGAAAGATTTGATTATATTTCAATAATTTTTATTTTTCTTATGGAGCTGTTACCCAGTATAAAAACAAAAAAAACCTTGTATACCTCTACAACCATTATAATGATTTTGGGATCAAAGCAGAATGGCAACTTTTTCAACTCATGGCAAAACTCTTAGCGGGGGAAATACTAAGTGCAACGTCCTTATGAACTAACTCCTATGAATTTATATAATTATTCGAGAATTAATATCCCGGGGAGGATTAATTTTATATTTGTTAGCAACGTTGAATATTTAAGAATGGAAACCTGTCTCGAAAATAGATTTTTAACAACCAAACGAATTTCGGGACACAAAAATATCATTAATTTATTCCAATGGAAGGAAAAATGAAAGTCAAATTTTATTCTAATTCATTAGGTTATTTAATGTAAGATATTATTTAGGGCTGTGCCGATATTAAATATCGGATCGTATCGGTACCGATATTTAACGTTTTCCAAAAATATCGGAAACCGATATCTGTAAAAAACCCGACCCGACCCGATCCTTTTACTAGAAATGCATTTTTTAAAACTTTTGAGTAATGAAACTTTGAATTATATATTTATTATTTTTTTAATAAAAATTTTTTTTTAAAATATTTAAAAAAAATAAATAAATTTTTCCGAGTTTCAGTTAGTTTCTATTTACATTAATAATATTTTCTAAATAATTTTTTTTAAACAATGCAAATGTTATTTATTTTTTTAATAGATTTTAAAAGTTTTTTTTATAAAAATAGAAAGGAACTCCCAAAGTTTTATTCATTTTTAGTTTTTTAAAAAAATAACCCAATTTTATTATTTATACTTTAAATAAAAGAATTATTTTAAATATGGTTTCTGAATTATGGAAATATTTTGATAAAGATAAAAAGAATTTTGCAAAATGCGTTATCTGCGGAATTCTAATTTCACGGGAAGGAATAATAAAAAATTCATTTAATACAACATTAAAGCGATTCCATCAAACGGAATTCGAAGAGCTAATACAAAAAGAACGATAAATATTAGAAAAAACAGATACATTCTGTAACATTAAAACTCCTTTCGTCAGCCCACATGTCATAGATTCTGACGAAAGGGTCCAGCAGGGGGCACACGTCCTCGTTTATTTTATCGTGATATTCATTATCTCATCTATTATCTTAAATTAAATTTGATTTGCATATAAATATTTGGTATCTTGATAATGGAACAATCTGTGATGCCCTAATAATTGGTTTTCAATTTCTTGAAGCCAATTTTAACCGACTCATTCTTAATAAGTCCAAATCCAAAATCTCTTTCCATGATGTCAATTTTAAAGCCATTATTATCTATAAAAATTGAAAATAAATGTAATATATTTTTAAAAAATCCAGACCGGGCAAAGCCAAAAATTTACAAAAAAAACCCAGAGCTGGCTGTGCAAATGGTACATACAGGTCTCTGATATATTTATTACCTTCAGTATAAATATATAATCGCATATGAATTTTCAATATATTAACTTCTGTAAAAATTATATTTATGTGCTCAATAAAAAAATATTCCTAAATGAATTTTTATACATTCATTTGCAATTTAAAACCTAAAAAATTTATTCTTGCTAGATGAAGGTTTTGCCTAACTTACGCCTATTCTGTGGATAGACTGAAAGATATTGGTTGGTGAGTGGGAGGGTTAAAAAATATTTTTAAAACAATGGGTAAGTGAATTTGATATATATTTCAGGCAAAATATTAGATATTATTTTTTTATTTCATAATTTATAAGTTTAAGTAAAAAACATTAAAATAATACATAAAGAGCCAAATCAACCAATATAATAATTTTTAAACAGTTGACAAGCAAATTAAACAAAATTTTTAAATAAATGAGCAGGGAGGTGCATCAAACCCATTGCAGACCTTTAGTCAGGATGACAACGGAAACAGCAGATAATGGATTTTACCTCTGCCCAAAGAATTCATTTATTAATGATATGCGTCTGCCACTTTTATTTTTCTATGCATTTACCACCTTAGTTTTGCAAATGACAACATTTTCAGGCCCAATGGGAATTTAGTTAATGCCCATCCCAAGTTTGCTTGGCCCAATTTCAATTTTTTTAAAGAACAAAGATATATAATTGTATAAAATACAAATATTTATTAGATTGTGGAATATTTATAATGGAAGGCACAAAGCACTCATTGAATAATGTTATCCAGAGTTTTGAGTTTTAATTTTAAATAAAATTAGTTAAAAATTATACTTTTGAAAAATGAATATTTCATTTTTAAGAATTCGGTTAATGATAGATACTACCAAATCAACTTATAGCAATTTTTTAAATACCAGCCTAATTTGCTAAATACTGATCAAAATTTATTAAAATATATAATGAGCCCCTATAACACAAATTTTAGCCCCGAAAAAGCCCTTTTAATAGAAAATTATGTTGCGGGAGTCATAAGTACTATAAGAGCAAGTTTATATAATTTTGGATATTAAAATTTTTTTGTTCCCAATATATAAAAACTGATGATTTTTTAGATTAATTAAATACACTAAATCAAAAATTGGTTATTTAAATATTTTGCATACTAAAATTTAGGAGGAATGCTCTAACACTAGTCGATATATTCATATCTTTCCTTCTGCGTATTTTATCTTTTCATTAAGCTCTTCATGATAGTTACCACAGATTAATCATTCCCATGTGGATACAACGATGATATCTTGTATTCTCTTCATGAAAACCCCTTTAAATTGCTTGCCCTGAAAGGCCTTAATATACATAATGTCTCTATTATATCATATATAGCTAATATCTTTTATCTTTCAAGACTACCTTCGTATATAAACTAGTTATAAAAATCAAGCCATTTACTATTTGCATACCATGTTTGAATTTCCCATTCTAGGTGTGTCTTACACCCCAGATACGGTGCCAATTTCCACTTATCTTTTTATTATCATTATTCATTTGCGCCGATCAAAAAATTGGAGGTTGCGGCATTTTGCTTTAAAACTATCAGCGATGGCAGCGCGTTAATTAAGACGCCACTATTTATATTATTTTTTTGTGAAATTACTTTTACCAAATAAAATAAAATTCTTATTATGATGTAAAATTATTATTTTGTTTATTTGAGGGCAAAGTGAACATCTTCTTGACGCTAGAGCTTGTAGCCGGGACATAAAATATTTTATTGGCTATGACTGGAAGTCTAATAAGTTCTCATTTTTCTTCCAAAAGTCTAGAATATTATCTACCAGTGGAGATAGAGTAGAATAAATCTTCTAACTCAGGATATTATTTCATCTGAGTATTGGTTGAATGCTTACCCACTAAATTGTATAATTGCTTCAGAATAATTATTTCACTCGCATTCTACTATTTATTCCATATCTTTATGAAGTAATGAACTAGTAGCATTATGATATAAAAATTGAGGAGGTTCTCACTTCTCTACTTTCAAAAAAAAACATAATCCATCGGTGAAGATAGATAAGAAAATAAAACATTCATATTATAACTCTTTCAGGATATCATTTTTCAGGTGAGTATTAGCTGGATGCATCCACTAACTTTTATATATAATTTTCTTCAGAATATACATTTCACTTGCATTATATATTTATTTCATAGGGATGGATGACATAAAATTGAACAGGAGTGAATAACTTTTGAAACTAGCGTCTATCAGCATGGCTAACACCTTAACCATATCGTTATTGAAAATCTATGATCCAATTTATTGCGCATATTTTGTTTGAGAAAAGATATAACGATATCATTATTAAGGAAATCAAGTGGTCTGTTATTTAACTGCGAAATAGTAGCAATATTTATGGATTCTTTTAGATATGATAAAAAAAATATACTATATAATTAAATGCATAGGAATTTGAGGATATCTTCCTCGAAATTCCAATCATTAAATAATGTTTCTTCATTCTATTTAATTAACATGATAATGGTTGGACCTTAATTAGCCCATTCACACTTTCTAGCATTATTAAAATACTATGCCAATGTATAGACACATTTAGAAAGCAATCTCCAGTTTTTACGCCAATGGACTACTTAGTTTGGGGATTGGCTTTTGGGAGAACGATGAAATGAAAAAGGCACCTTGACAAAGTTAAGAAAAGAGAAGTGCGACGTATAAGGTGAAGATATGCATTACGAGCTGGGCGAAAAATTTTATATAATAACTTAAACCCTTTGTTTTAATTGATATATATATATATATATATATACTAGTTGTGGTTATAAGTTAACGCTTAAATAATTATTTCTGAGTTACCTTGTGAAATTATATGTATATATATATTAATTGAAAGCTAAAGAATTAATAAGAAAGAAAAAATTAATTTAATATAATTTATTTAGTATCAGCTCTATATTTGTCTAGCTCTATAAAATAAAAGTTAAAATTAAACATTTTATTGATTCAATAAAAGTATCATTTTATTTGGTGCATAAATAGATAAATAAATATAAATAATTTTTTTTTTATAATATACGAATGTTAACATAACCTTAAAATACAGAGTTCATCTGCAGCGGCAGCAGCTTTCGCCATTCCTTCTCAATTATATCAACATTTTCACAACGTTATCGGAAATTCGTCAGCCTTATTTAAAAATCAAAGTATATGTTTATTATATGAGGCTTCTATTTTTATGGGAAAACATTTTTCAAAATCTCGCGATGTTGCATAAATAATAAATATTAAAGCACATGAATAGAATACAATACTAATTATCAACGCACGTTTTTGTTTGTAGGAGATTGTTTAAGCGATGCCCGTAATAAATAGATGATTTTTTTTTCAACAAAATTATTTATTTAAAAACACTACCCTAATATATTATAATAAATAATAACATACATAAATAACGATAGGTAGTACTACGAACACAAAAAAAACTATAGCGCCATCTACGGTCTCTATCAGCGATGGCAACAGTAAAACGACCCACATCGTTCAAATAGATGGCAAATACGATGACAACGAAGAGGACGAGTTTGATGAACTAGAGCCAAGTGGGGAAGTGGGTCTTTATAAGAAATTTAAAAAAGCCGGTCGCCCTCTCAAACGTCAAACTCTTGAAAAACAACAACCCAAACATAAAAAAATTGTACGCGACATGAAGAGCAAAAAAATCCAATTTGGACTCAAAGTTGAACAGTAAGTCACAACATCATCTTATAAATATCTTTATAACTTCCGCCAATAACTTGATTACTATACATAATAATAGTGTGAGGTGCAGACGTGATCGTATACATTGTTTTATTTAAATGAAGAAATCTTGGGATTAAGTTTATTTTCGATTTTCTATTAAAAAATTTCAATGATCTATAAATGTTATTATATGTATGATGAAGGAGATATAGAATATAAGTCAACATGATCAAAATCGTCTCGTGGATAGTTTCCATAGTTTTTTGGCCTGGTTTGTAATTATTTTTACTCGATCCTATCCTGAAAATATATTTTATACAAGTTGTCCATCCCAGCATGTAACAATTTTTTGTAAGAAAAACTATAAAAATTTTCTTAATTATCAGTTTTACAAACATTTTCAAAACTTGAGTCGATAAAAATGTTTAGCACAAATTTTTCTGGTCTGACCAAAAAATCTTTTTGCACTTATTTTTATATATTCACTATTCTATTACAATTAACACTGAATTATTTTTGGTAACTTTAATTTATTATTAACAATCAAACATATCTATTTACTGATTTTTCATAAAATTTTAATACAATGCGGTCATTATATTTTGATATATTTTTATAATTTCAAGCTAATATTTTGATTTAATATTTGAAATTAAATTAATATTTGAATATCTAAATTCTAAATATATAAATAATACAGTAAATTAACAAGAAACTAAACAAATTATTTATGATATCCAATAACAAATACACAATATAGATCAAACAATGATTTATAATTGTTATTAATTTTATAAAATGTAAAAAGTAAAAGTTATCTTTTTTTTAACAAATAATCAATTAACATTTAATTTTCATCTAAACAGTAAAAAATAAAATAATAATATAAACAATTAATTTTATGCAACCAATTTATATTTGAAAAAATAAATTAATCTGCAATATAGCACAACACCTTTTTGCCCTTTAATTTTGATACTTCTGTGGGTTTTCTTATTCAAGCGCTCTTCCAGCGGTTCTATTTCAACCATCGGCATCACGTCAGACAAAACAGCGGTCGTGAGTGTTGCGGCTGTCTGTACCATGATGGGTTCATTATGATCCACTTCCTTGAGTTGTGTTTTCTAAAATACTCAATTTTTTTTAAATAAAGCTTTTAAGTTAGTTTTGATCTATTTATATTGACAACTTTTTTTACTTATGCTTAATTTCCTAAATGATTTGTGAGCAAAATCTCATCTCTATAGGGTTAGCAATACCTATATATTATTATTTCATATAAGATAAGAGATAGAGGCATTTATTATTATTATTATCATTTAATATAGCATATTAAAATAAATCTATTCACTTATATTTCTAGATATGAATAAAATTAATAATCTATATCATGATCCTCACTACTAGGAGAAGGAAGATGGTAAATAGTTTAAAACTAAACCCAGATTTTCATTAATATATCTTCTTATAATATCAATAGGAGATGATGGTTATTGATGCATTATTACATTTTGATTTTGATACAAATATTGAAGATAAAGAAAAGGCTCAATCATCTACCAGCTCAGTCTCTTATTGTCAAGATGCAACCAGTATGAGATTTATAAATATAAAAAATTCTTTTTTCTTTAATCTTTCAAAATAAAAGTTGAATGACCTTGTTATCAATATTGATATAACCAAAAAGGAATCATATAAATAGACATTAAATTATAGCTGGTGATGTTTCTCTAACTGGTTTTTATTACTGAATTTCTATAATTTTACTGGTAAACTTTATTTAATAATGCAAATCAGGGTTGGTCACTACATTATAGCAAATACTTGTGTCTTAAATACAAGATAGAGAATTTTGTATGTGTTCATTTTCAGTGCCCTTACTTCCTCTAGATTTGCCCATCCTGATGACCATTATCTAGGTGAAATGCTCATTTAGAAACATCTCGCATCATTTATGAGAATTTTGATATTTTTCTAATAGGACTCATAACTCAGAGGTTTCCACTCATGATTCAGTCGAAGCATCGGGTCTTTTATCTTAATGCGTTAATATAAATTACGTTATATAGCCATTATAATTTATGAGTTATTATTAATGATCCACTAAATAAGTATCTAGGATGTTAAAAATTGTATTGATTCTATGATCAATTTATTAATTCTTTTGATTTGATTTGAATTAAGGCTGAAAAACATTAAGCAAAATTTACCTCATCTCCCAAAATTCAACAAGGGTACATAAAACGCCTACAAATTTTCAATACTTTCTTATCGTCAGCGGTTCTGTTTCAATCATTAATGTCATGTCAAACAAAAGTTATGTGGTCGTTAGTGTTGAGGCAGTCGGTATCATAATGGGCTCCACTTCCTTTTGAGTTAGGCTTTCTAAAATAATCAGGGTTTTAATTAATTCCTGCTTTACCAAACAAATAATTAGGCATTCATATAATTTTTGCTATTTTTATTAAAAATTTGTAAATGTAATATGAATACAAAATAATACTATAATATGAATATACAAAATAATACTCTAATATAACACGACGATTTATTTTATATGAATTAAAATATAAATTCTGTATAATTCTTTTTTCATAAGCAATGAATACTAAATTTTGTTTACGCTGATCTTTCAACAATTCTCTAGTGCTTGATAGAACTCTCTTTACTGTAGAGAATGAGGCCTCACAATAAGCCGTTGATACCCCAATGATGATGGCTGCTGATTAGCATTTAAAAATTCTTTAAATGCAAAATGATATTTGTTTAATACATAATATTTAGGACATTTTCAAAATTATGTGTCTTTAACTTCTTCAGCTAATAATCCTTTTGCTATTTTCTTTTCATGATGTCACGTTTCCATATTTAAGTTTGATAATGATTCTAATGGGACCATTTTATCTGATATAAAATAATCAGGGTCGGGGGGGGGGGGCAATGTATTAAAACACAATAGAAAATTATAATCATCTTATGTAAATCTATCTAAAAAACGTTCAACAAAGTAATCAATAATATCATAATAATTCTTTTTTAAAGAACTCCAATTCGAGGCTTTTTCACAATCAAATTAAAATTAGGTCTCGATTAATAAAGTAGGCTTTTTACGTACCGTTATGATTTTTGGGGGATGAGATTAAATTTCGTTTAAAGTTTTTCAGCCTTAATTCTAATCAATCCAAAAGCATTATCGCTTTTATTTTTTAATAAATTGATCATGGAATCAATACAATTTTTAGCATCCACTAGATTATACTTATTTAGTGGAACTATTATTATTAATATCTCATAAATGGCTTCTACTGAATCATGAGTGGAAACCTCTGAGTTAAGAGTTTTATTTGAAAAGTAAAATAATAGTTCACCTAGCCTCAAAATCCTCATAAATGATGCAAGATGTTTCTAAATAACCAGTCCACCTCTGGTCTAAAAGTCTCTTAAGAGTATGGCCTGTATATTTACATTAGTAATGCTTTTAGCAGAAAATATTGTAAATTAATAATTTCTATTAAATTTTCTTGGATTTCTCCAGAAAAATATAGCGAATAATTATGCCTAGGTTTTCACAACCTGATGCATCTTTTGTCTCACCAGCCTTAAGATAAAAATAAGGCATCTCACTTTTGTTATATTGGCACCATATCTGCCATATAAATTTTATTTCGTTTTGAATCTGGGGTGATTATTTTGGGTATTAATTTCATAAGGATGGTATATGAAAACATTGCTATAAATAGTCCAGAATAATAAATTATGTTTGCATCTTTTGCAGCATCCGTAATTTTTGCACGAAAAGGTAGCTTCTGTATGCGAAATAACATCAAATCAAATATTGATATAAGATATTAACAATTACGGTTAATTTGACTTAACAAAATTCTTGTTATCTCAGTATCTTTATTTATATTAAGATTATCATGCCAAATTATTGTTGAAAGTAAATGAGCTTTTGAGCTTTCATATTTTAGCAGTCCCTTCTTTGCAGTTAATTCATTTTTTTAATAGCTCAATCCCTTTTGTCCAAATTCATTGGGCTACACAAGTATTTCCTAGATGGAAAACAAAAAGCAGCGTCAGCCTCTACACTGTACTCCAACCAGTCGTGACTTCTATGCCATGAAGCCTTCCATGGATAATTTTTTTTCACGTAAATGGTTAATTTGTTTTGCTTTGGTTCATTCTAACCAAGGTCACCTGAGATTTGAATTGAACTTGGAATCATTAAAAGACTTTTTCGACAGTAAAAATATTATAATTTTTTAAACTGAAAGGAAGGAAAGGAGCATAAATAGATAATGGTCATCAGGATGAGCAAATCTAGAGGAAGTAAGGGCATATTGAAAATGAACTCATACAAATTCTCTATCTTGTATTTAAGACACGTATTTAGTAAAATTATAGAAATTCAGTAATAAAAACCAGTTAGAGAAACACAACCAGCTATCATTTATTGTCTATTTATATGATTACTTTTTTAGGTTATAACAAGGTCATCAACATTTTATTTTAAAAGATCAAAGAAAAAAATAATATATTTTATATTTATAAATCTTATACTAGTTGCATCTCTACAATGAGAGACTGAGCTGTTAGATGATTGAGTCTCTTCTTTATCTTCAATATTTAAATCAAAATATAATAATGCATCACCATCATATCCTATTGATATTGCCAGAAGATCTATAAATTGAAAAATCGGGTTACGTTTTAAACTATTTACCATCTTCCTCTTCCTGAGAGTAGTGAGGATGATCTAGTTTATTAGCTTTATTATAAACTTCATACTTTTCTAGAATTATGAGTGAATATATTTATTTTAATTACTATACTAAATGATAATAATAAATGATTGTCAACCCTGTAGAGATTATATTTTGCTACAAGTCAGAGTCACAAATCATTTAAGTTAAGATTAAGTAAAAAAAAGTTGTTTAATTTAAATGAATTGATCAAAATTAACTTGAAAACTTTAACAAAAGTATATACCTTCAACTTCTTCC